TAAAATAAAACAAACAATAAGAAACACACTGAAACAAACAATAAGAAAAACAGTAAAACAAACAATAAGAAATAGAATAAAACAAACAATAAGAAACACACTGAAACAAACAATAAGAAAAACACTAAAACAAACAATAAGAAACACACTGAAACAAACAATAAGAAATACACTGAAACAAACAATAAGGAAAACACTAAAACAAATAATAAGAAGTAAAATAAACCAAACAATAAGAAACTCACTAAAACAAACAATAAGGAAAACACTAAAACAAACAATAAGGAAAACACTGAAATAAACAATAAGAATCGAAATAAAACAAACAATAAGAAACACACTAAAACAAACAATAAGAAATAAGATAAAACAAACAATAAGAAACACATTGAAACAAACAATAAGAATCAAAATAAAACAAATAATAAGAAGTAAAATAAACCAAACAATAAGAAACTCACTAAAACAAACAATAAGGAAAACACTGAAATAAACAATTAGAATCGAAATAAAACAAACAATAAGAAACACACTAAAACAAACAATAAGAAACAAGATAAAACAAACAATAAGAAACACACTGAAGCAAACAATAAGAATCAAAATAAAACAAACAGTAAGAAACACACTGAAACAAACAATAAGAATCGAAATAAAATAAACAATAAGAAACACACTAAAACAAACAATAAGGAAAACACTGAAGCAAACAATAAGAAATAAAATAAAACAAACAATAAGAAACACACTGAAACAAACAATAAGGAAAACACTAAAACAAACAATAAGCATTGAAATAAAACAAACAATAACAAACACACTGAAACAAACAATAAGAATCGAAATAAAACAAACAATAAGAAACACACTAAAAGAAACAATAAGAAACAAGATAAAACAAACAATAAGAAACACACTGAAACAAACAAGAAAAACTCTAAAACAAATAACAAGAAACAAAATATAACTAACAATAAGAAACAAGATAAAACAAACAATAAGAAACAAAATAAAACAAACAATAAGAAACAAAATATAACAAACAATAAGAAACACACTAAAACAAACAATAAGAAACAAATAAAACAAACAATAAGAAACAAGATAAAACAAACAATAAGAAACAAGATATAACAAACAATAAGAAACAAGATAAAACAAACAATAAGAAACAAGACAAAACAAACAATAAGAAACAAAATATAACAAACAATAATAAACACTAAAACAAACAATAAGAAAAAGATAAAACAAACAATAAGAAACAAACAATAAGAAACAAAAGAAAACAAACAATAAGAAACAAAATAAAACAAATAATGAGAAATAAAAGAAAACAACTAATAAGAAACACACTAAAACAAATAATAAGAAATAAAAGAAAACAAACAATAAGAAATAAAAAGCAAATAAAAAGAAACAAAGTAAAACAAATAATAAGAAATAAAATTAGAATTTTCGAAAATAGATAAATGTTTTTTACTCTTACCAATGCAACTCGTTTGCCAAAAAATAAACATTGACAAGTTTTCTGTCTGAAACACTTTATATTTCGTTTTGTTTAATTTGAAAAGAAAGTGTGAAGAATGAAAACCATCATAAGAAACACCCATGTCACAAACTCCTCTGTTAAAGGTGTCAGTCACACACATAACATTTTACAACTAAGAATTTTTACTTGAAAAATAAACAAGTGTCATGTGAAAAACAAAAAGGATCAGTATAAACTAGTTTTGGTCTAGCTACGTCGAAAATAGCTAAAGATGGAAACTCACAATTTTGGATCCAAAGCCTATCCACACTTTGCTCCTCGATTTTTTCAGAAGCAAATGAAGGAAAGCTTGTTCATAAGGGTTCATGACTGATGCCAGGTGACCTTTCACTTTACGACAGTAATCTTCAGCATCTTTCCAGGTCTTCTTACTATTTAATTCATCAAACACTTGGTAACAGCCGTTATCGTAGGACACATAGTTTGTTAAGGATCCATTACAATTGTAATTTATATCTTGTTCAGGAAGCTTCTTGTCTGCAATAGAAGTTTATATGTTCCATACAGATTTAAATATGTTCCAAGTTCTCAGGCGTTATATAACTAGAAAATTACTGTGGTTCAGAACACGTATTTCTTATCACTTCACAGTTGGGTACTTCCAAATAAGCATATGTGTGAGATAATGATAATGTATCTGTTTGTGTTTGAAAGTTAGAACATATATTAAATCGCACAATACGCATAGTGAGCTTGAACCTTTAAATGTGAAAGAAAAAAACTTCCTTTAAGAAAATCATTCATATACTTAAAAACAATAATATTCTCCTGTGACAAATATTCGTAAATGATGTCATTTACCTTTATTAAATCTAACAGGACATCACCAAACTGATACTGACATGCATACTCCTACTTTTCAGAACACAATCTTTAGACTTTACTCTGATCTTTACACCTTACCTTAAGACCCTGAGAGATATAACTTTACTTCTCAGAACACGATCTTTAGACTTTGCTCTGATCTCTACACCTTACCTTAAGACCCTGAGAGATATAACTTTACTTCTCAGAACACGATCTTTAGACTT